GGACTTGTCTGGGCTAGGCCCCAACAACCATCAGTTTGTGTGAGATAGATCTTGGAACAAAACGGACCAGGCAGTTGCACCACCAATACGTGTGTTGGCTGGTGCAGGTAACAGTCTGAACCTGACCCTGTATTAGCTGGTGCACACAAAATAATCAAGCCTGAGTTCATGCCAGGTGAGATATCTTATGGGACTCCCCAGCTAGACCACTGCACTCAGACAGCAGCCACAGGAATAGTCACAAGATTTGTGAACTGACCTTGTAGTATATTTATCAAGACTGAGTCTCTTCAATTGTTGATGCTTGTACAGTGTACAGCATGCCCATATGCACATGAAGGATACAACAGCCAGATCATCTTGGGTAGCAAATGACATCAAGTGCCTCATCAGTGGATGGAAAGTAAAACAGAGTGGATAACTCTTCTTAGTTAAGCTTGCAGATTTTCTAGGTCTGTGGATGCATTAAGATGGACTTGATGAACCAATAGACGTTGGAAAGATTTTTACAGCACTTGTGCAATGAGGCAAGCATGTTTTCAGAATTATCAAAACCACTCATGTAACACCCTTGAAACATTCTACCACACACTGAGGTTTCTGAGGCATCATTGAATGACTGTCCCTCATCCCCAGGTACTGGTGCAGTTTGACAGCAAAGAGCAGCTCTCTCCCTTTCCATGCCTGTGACATATAGAAAACATTTGTCCCTTCAACCTTTCTCCATACTTACACCTTCCCTACACTAATTGGACCCACATAGGCATGCGCCACTCTTGATCATGTAAAGGATATTAACAATAAATTAAAAAGAGTCAAATCTCAAAATGTTAATTTCACTGATACAAATTACATTTTTGTAATTTGTTATTTAGGTATCACAAATCAGAGAAAAATGTAACATTTGTGTTTTGGGAACTGACATTTTACTAAGCCCAATGGTTTCCAGTTGCATCTATTTTATTGCAAAAGACAGATTTTCACTTTTTTTCATAGATTTGTAGTATTCCATAGTGTTTTTATACCACTCAGTATGATGTTGGTTCTAGCTTTATCATATAGAGGCTTTATTACTTACGGTTGCTTTGCTTGTATGTCTAATTCATTGAGACTTTTCCTTTGTTATGAAGGGATGCTCAACTTTTTTTTTTGCATTTATAAAGATAACCATTCATGATTCATAGAATGCAGCTGTAACCATCCAGCTATGGTTTTTTCTTTGATGAAATACTTTCATTATTTTTCCAAAGTCATTACTCTTTATTGATTTGTTTAGATGTCTATAAAAATTTATTGGCATGTTTATTTTTAAAGTAATTTCTTACGTTCCTTTTGTATAACATTTTCTTTCCATCCCTAATGTATTTTTCTCCTTCTGAATATTATCTCAAAGACTGATTCATTTACTAAATGAAAAAGGTAGAGCAGTGGACACAAGCCCTGTTGTAAAAGGAGAATATAGCAGCACATTTGGTGCTGTAGCAGAAGAACAGAACTAACTGGACAAAAACCCCAAACAAACAATGACAGCAAAAAATCTTGATGAAGGGAACCAACGAACATTGAGAGGGTGACATCATCCTTGGATCAGTGAAATCAGCAGCATTTCAGAATTATCCAAACCACTTGGACAGAATCCTATGCATATGTACATATTGAGGCTCTGGGTTGATATGAGATGGCGGTTCCTCACCACCTGGAATGCTGAGACATGTGGAAAGTTGTGAGTGGTTTCCCCCTTTGTTTCTCCTCTTCCTCCAGGAACAACAAGCAGAAGTAGCCAATTTGGGAGCAATGAATTAACCGTGTTTTCCCTAAACCTCCATCTTTCCCACCCTGATCAAACATGTAATCATTATTTTTAAAAATTAGTTTAAAAGTTTTGAAAGGAAGGAAGAAAGAAAGGAAAGAAGGAAGGAAGGAAAGAAGGAAGGAAGAAAAGAAGCAAGGAAGAAAGAACCATCCCCATCATGAGTATTATATGCAGTAAAGCAATCAAGTAGACGTGAAAAAGAAATAAGATATTCCCCAGATACACAAAAATCAGGAGAATGTACCATCACCAAACAAATCTTACAAGAAATTCCAGAATTCTACATTAGAAACTAGCATTATGAAAACGCATGGCATGACCAAACTTACTAAAAGTTTAGGGATACTCAGTAACCAATCAGGTATCAGTTCTTACCTATCAATAATAACCTTGAATACAAATAAATTAAATTCCCCAAGCCGAAAGAAAAGAATTAACTAAGTGAATGAAAAAAAGACTCTCCTATATACTTCCTGAAAGAAGCTCACTTTATATTTCACATAAATATGGTCATATGAAGGGGTGGAAGACAAGGATAACAAAGTAGAAACAGCAACAACAACAAATAAAAGTGCTTATCCTTATACAACATAAAAAGACTTTAAAAAAGAAAATATAAAAAGAAACAGGACATGGTATTCTGATAGATATATCAATTCAGCAAGAAGATAAGACTATTGTAAATATATTCTGTCAAGAATGCCATTGATATTTTGATAGCAGCTACACTGAATCTGTAGATTGCTTTAGATAGGAAAGACAATTTAATGATACAAAATCTGAGGAAGCAATTGCCATGAGATATCACAAAATATTGGATGAAATAATTAAATACTAAGTTATACAAATAGCTGTTTAAAGCAAATACTGAACTTAATATGGTATATATTACATCAAATTAAAATCTTTACTGTGCTAGTATGTTATGGAAGAAGCATTTGAGTTCAGAAGCCTTTGAGTTCATTCAAAACTGATAAGGCTAATGTTTCTTTTGTTTATGTGTAGAATAATGATTATTATGAGTTTAAAATATCAAGGATTGGCTCAAACCTAATATTCTTAAAAAATGCAAATAATATAAAATAGGATGCTGATAGGCAAAGCAATTATTCCTGTGTTTCAGGTGATGCATGGAAACTTTTTATGACTTTATTGAAGTAGGCTATATTTTTCAGGAGTCTTTAAGACCTAAATCCATTTTCCATAATAAATGGAAAAATTATAATTTCATTTTCTTGGCACAAAACTGAAAATGAAGGCCACTCACAAGGGAACTGCTTAAGTCATCTCTTCCAAGAATTTCCCTTGAGGTTTATTATCTGTATGAAGTACTAAGGCCCCCAACTTTATAAAGAAAGTGACTGTCTTCCTCAATTATTATCATAGGGTGAAACAGGCATTATACTATTTGGGATATTTCAATTCAGACAAAGAAGTAAGTGATAAAAATTATAATAAGACATAAAACCACTGAATAAGGGCCAATATTTAATACTGAATTGGATTCTGATGGGAAGAGAAGGTATATTTATATGTATAAATATATACATATACATTTTTTAAAGACAATGACATATCACTTTGGACTGTCAATACTCATTTAAGGTGAGTATTTAAAAGTTAGAAAATTGATTCATTAACTCTACTTCATTTAATCTTTGAAAAACTATGTGCAGATTGTATTTCTTTTGTGCAAAATTACATACTTAGAACAAATTAAGACATTTTCGTTTATTAAACTTGAATGTCAAAATTACAGAAAGATGGAGTGAGAGAAAGGGAGAAAGAGATATTCCATCCACTGGTTCACTCTCTACATGTCCACAATGGCCAGAGCTGAGCTGGTTGGAAGACAGGAGCCAGGAGCTTCTTCATGATCTGCTGAAGGCTCAGAGGTTAAGGCTTCGGAGAATCTTTTGCTGCTTTCCAAAAGCATAATCAGGGAAGTGGAGCTGCTGGGAGAAGAATCAGTGCCCATAGGAGATGCCTGCCCTGAATTTCAGAGTATTAGCTTCATATACCTACACACTGGCCCTCATATCTTTTCATATTAACACATGTGTTTATATATTAGAACACTGAAACATTTTAAAAAAATAATACTGATGTCCTCTTTGCATTTAGGGGCACTTTCATTAATTAAATATAATGCGTATTGTCCTTTGCAAACTATTTCTGAAAAGACAAGGATGTTGTTAGTAATTGGAAACAATTTGAAGAAAAATTACTTGGCAGATATAAACTCATACTCAATAAGATATTTTGTGAAAATAGCTGAAGCAATAATGTGCACTGCTTTAAAATATTTGCTTTTACATAATATATAATGAAATATGCTATTTTATATTTATATATTTATATGTTATATTAAAATATATTATATATTGCATATCATATACATTTAGAATATTACCCATGTACAGCAAGGTTGATAAGGCAGATGCTAAATGTTTCAACAAGACTAAAGGATATTTGTATTAATTATCACAGTGTAACTGACCACAGGTTTTCTACCTGTTTTCTACTGCCCAGTGTTTTCCAAATTTTTTTACAACCACTTGCAGTAAAAAATACATTCTTACATTACAATTCAGGTCACACAAATGCAAAGTCACATTTATAAAGGACACAAATAGATGGATAAAATAACATGTAACTGTTCGAATGTGCAGTTACAACTTAGGGTGTGGAAGCAATAACATAAAATGATATTGTGATTAAAAGTTTATAAGTTCCATACCAAACAGAGCAATCCTCCAGGAACTCAATGACTTCTGAATCCACGTGAATACATAAAAGAATCCAACAGGAGCACACCCAGGACCTGAAGATTATGAACGAATTTAACATGCACATGAGGTAAGTCACAAGGACTGGGTCTGAAGCACGTATTCCTCCAGTTCATAAACTTCCTCCCAAAGAATACTTTATAAATAATTGCTGTATAGAATTCTTAGGAAAAAATGTAATTTTGCTTGGCAATTTTTTTAGAGTAGATGCAGACATAATGTTTTCAGGACAATTAGACTCATATTTTTTCATATCTATGAGTCACTAGAGCTAAGCTGCAACTCAAACCTCTACATGACTCCCTCTGTTTTAAATCATTAGATGGACCACCAGAGAAACTCAGTGCTGACAGAATCCTTGTTGTCACCTGGATCCACCAAGAAGACAAACCAGAGCCATGCATCCAGGAAATGCAAGTTCTCCACACATCTTCATTCTCTTGGGCTTCTCTGACTATCCCTGGTTGGAAATGCCCCTATTCGTGATGGTGCTCGTGGCTTATGCGTTCACACTCCTGGGCAACATCTCCATCATTGTGGTGTCTAGGGCAGATCCTCGTCTTGACAGTCCTATGTACTTCTTCCTTTCCAACCTCTCCTTCCTGGACCTGTGTTTTACCACAACCACCATCCCTCAGCTTCTGCGGAACCTCTGGGGACCAGATAAATCTATCAGTTATGGAGGCTGTGTGACCCAGTTTTATATGTTTCATTTCCTGGGAGCCACGGAATGCATCCTCTTAGCTGTCATGTCCTTGGATCGTTACCTTGCCATCTGCAAACCCCTGCGGTACCCTGCAATCATGAATAAGCGACTTTGCATCCTCCTCGTGGCCATGACATGGCTGAGTGGCTTGGCTAACTCCTTGCTTCAGGCATCTCTCACGCTCCAGCTTCCACTTTGTGGTAACAACAAGGTAGACAACTTTCTGTGTGAGGTCCCGGTGATGATCAAGATGTCGTGTGCTGACACCACGTTCAACATAGCTCTGCTCTCTGTCGTGGGAGCGTTCTATTCTCTTGTTCCCTTGTCACTTATCCTTGTGTCCTACGGGTTCATTGTAGCTACTGTGCTCAGGATTCGGTCCTCAGAAGGGAAGAAGAAGGCGTTTAACACATGTGGTTCCCATGTCATTGTTGTGTCACTTTTCTACGGACCAGTAATTATTATGTATGTGCAACCCTCCTCCGCTAACTCTCAGGACAAGAACAAGCTCATGTCTCTTTTCTACAGTTTGGTGACTCCTATGCTTAATCCTTTTATCTACACTTTGAGGAACAAGGACATGAAAGGGGCAATGAGGAAGCTTGTAATCTCATTGTGTCATCAGGGAACAGAAGAATCATAGCTATCATTGTGCTGTCCACTGCCCACATGTAATTGTGCATATCTCCTGTTTTGAAAATACCTTTCAGCTTAATCTGCAAAGTGTTAGCATTCATTAGCACCTATGCTAACTACAAGTACTCTTTCGTGGACATTGTTGTAGTTTGTCAGATATCATTTTATGTATGATTCTTAACACTGTATTTACCTGCAATTACTAAGAGAGTGGGGATCCAAATGGAGAGTCTGTTGTGGTAATCCTAAAAATTCACAAGGAATATATGCTACTTACATGCTCATATAGTCAGGCATAAAGCCAAACCTCATGCTTTTATGTGTTACTTGGTTAAATAAATACAAATACTTTGCACTGAAATTTATCATTTTACTGTTGTGGATGTAATCTGAGGTTAATCTTTTATTTTTCAAAGTCCACTCTTTAAAAATTACCAGGAAGCGCAAATGAGTTAATTGCTCATATTTTATTGCTGCTTGTTTCAAATTTTTTCCTTCATCCTCCAAAACTAACAGAACTAAGAAACAACAAAAGACTCTTTTCTCAAAAAAGCAACAGGTTTAACTCTTCTATGTATCCATAAATTAATTCTAGGCCATCAAAGGGGAAAAATAAATGACTTGAAATCCTGAGAAACTTCTGTGTTACCACTGATATAAAGTCGCAACTGTGCTGAAATGACCTACTCAGTCATAAAAATTTGGGTTATTTTGCAAATAATTGAGCGATGGAATGGTTCAGTCCTTGAAGAATCAGAACCTTATGTGGCTAGTAGTGAAAAATAAAGGAAGTGGAATATAACATAGAGAAAAACACAAAATAAATGAAATTGACAATCAAATTATCAAACATCATTTAGAAATTCTAAGGTTCAAAGTGTGGTAATGGTGTCTGAAAAGGCAATTTTGTTGATCTTTTCAACAACATGTATTCTTCACATTATGGGCTTGTGGTTGTATTGCAATTCTATGCGAGGTGCCTTTCTAGTAACCTAACATTGCAGCTGATGTTTACTATAAAAATCTGCTATTCTTACACGCCGATGTGTATGGAGTCTTCATATAACCTCCCCTCCTCTGTGTACATATATGGTCCACTTCCAAATGATGAGTACATAATCCACTGATTTATATCTCACAAACTTCTGTTGCTGATATGCTCATTTTAATTGAAAACAATTATAACAAGCTATTTCAATATTCAGTTTGTGCTGCATTGCACAAATTGTGGGCAGTGATATGCATTTCTGTAGGTGCAGGGATTCATTCCTCTGCATTTTCCCTCTTGTTATTTTTCCCTGTATTATCACGGCAGTATAGTCCCTTAGTAAAAGTTTTAATTTTATCTTTCTGCCATTTAGACGTATCAGGTTGACAAATATAGGCAAAGGCAGAAAAACTAGTGTGTTGTATTACTTCAAGGCAGCCTTGTTGCTCTGATTCTTACTCTACAAGTGGTGTAACACACCTTCCCACCACCACAAAGTCCCAACACAACAGCAAGAGTGGCTCCTTTTCTTAGTCATAGAAAGTCCTCCATGTTTCAGTTGCTTACTGATAATGATTAGTTTTTAAATAAATAGGAATTCCTTTCTTATCCTGGATCTTACCCATTATCTTTCTATTGTACCTCAGAGTCCAACCTCACATATGACAATTTCCCTCAAAGAGAATTTTTTTGATAAAAATACACACCTTGGTGATAGACCCACCGCAGATGATAGATCAGAATGAAAGCAATTGGTGACATTGTCCCAACACACATACAGTGCTCTTTGGCAAAGTAAAGGGTTTATTAATGTCAGGCATTGAAGATCATCTCTGTCCAATTAGTAGCTAAACACTAAGGTACCTGAGTAAAAACTCCCATGGTCACATTCCACAAATGTGCAGATTAGTTCAGGGAAGTCCCTATTTAATCAATAACTCCACAAAAAATTACGTAGTGTACGTAGAGCTAATGTGGACCCATGGGGAGGGTATTATGACAGATATTTTAACAAACTATAAATACCCACCATTTGCCCTGCTCACTCCTATCCCTCCTCCCCTCCAATTCAATAATCGCTTCCTCACAATCACCCAACCTTCACAACATATGAGCCAATCCTGTTTGCACATGAAGAATCTATCCACAAAATTTCCATTTATATTATGTAAAATGCCAAATTTTTAATATAAAATTCTAATGCTGGCAAAGAATAAGAAAGTGTGGGGGCCGGTGCAGTGGTCTAGTGGCTAACGTCCTCACCTTGAATTCACCAGGATCCCTTATGGGTACCGGTTTGATCCCAGCAACCCCACATCCCATCTAGCTCCCTGCCCGTGGCCTTGGAAAGCAGTTGAGGATGGCCCAAATCCTCAGGACCCTGCACCAGAGTGGGAGACCTGGAAGAGCTCCTGGCTCCTGGCTTCGGATTGGCGCAGCACCAGCAGTTCCAGCCGCTTGGGGAGTGAGCCATCAGAGGGAAGATCTTCCTCTTTGTCTCTCTTTCTCTCTGTATATCTGACATTGCAATTAAAATAAATAAATCTTTAAAAAAAAAAGAATAAGAAAGTATGGTCAACTGATAAAAATAATAATTATAAGCATGTATATTTGTTTCTAACAACTGTCAAACTGAATTTATGATGATCCATGGGAACAATAATTCCACAATAACAGTTTAACTTACTTTTTTTATTAGAAAGGCAGATTTACAGAGAGAAGTAGAGACAGAGAGAAAGATCTGCCATAGGCTGGTTCATCCTCCAAATGCTCCCAACAACTGGAGTAAAGACAGTCCGAAACCAGGAAGCAGGATGTTCTTCAGGTCTCCCACACAGCTGCAGGGTGGCATGGGTTTGAACCATCTTCCTGTTATTTCCCAGGGTATAAGCACGGAGCTGGATGGGAAGTGAAGCACATCATAGGATGTGCTAGTGCTTGCAGTAGGAAAATAGGTCAATTGAGCCAGCACACTGGCCCCAACAACTGAACACTCATATCCAACTTTCAGTCACAGAGGTAGCAACTAGACAGAAGATCAGCAGGGAAAAGAAGATGTCAACGTTAAAAATGAACTAGGCTATTGGCGTCCTTCTTAGAAAGTCAGGACCTACTCCTAGGTCTTGCAGGGTATTTCCTACATTTTCTTGCAAGAGTTTGAAGGTTTCTGGATGTAGGTTTAGGTCTTTTATCCATGTAGATTGGATCTTAGTGTATGGTGATAGATGTGGGTCTATCTTTTTGTTTCTACAGGCTATCAGCAGTTGAGAACAGAATAAACAAATGGGACCTCATCAAACTAAGAAGCTTCTGTACAGCAAGGGAAACAATCAACAAGTAAAAAAGCAACCCACAGAGTGGGAGAAGATCTTTGCACACGATATAGGCGATAGGGGGCTAATTTCCAGGATATACAAAGAACTTCAAAACAACCAAAAAACCAAAACAAACAAGCCACTCAAGAAATGGGCACGGGAAATGGGCAAACATTTCACAAAGGAACAAGTCCAAATGGCAAACAAACATATGAAAAAATGTTCCAGCTCCCTGGCAATAAGGGAAATCCAAATTAAAACATCGATGAGGTACCATCTAACACCAGTAAGATTGGCCCACATAAACAAGAACACCAACGACGCTTGCTGGCGAGGATGCGGGGAAAAGGGAACCCTACTCCACTGCTGGTGGAGCTGCAAATTGGTACAGCCTTTATGGAAATCAGTCTGGAGAACACTCAAACAACTCAAAATCTGCATACCATATGACCCAGCAATAGCACTCCTAGGAATATATCCAAAACACCTGTTTTACGACAAACCAACGTGCATCCCTATGTTCATTGCAGCACAATCAGTAATTGCAAAAACATGGAAGCAACCGAAATGCCCATCAGCAGAAGATTGGATAAGAAAGCTTTGGTTCATCTACTCCATGGAATACTACTCAGCTATTAAAAAAAAACAAAATGCAGTTCTTTGTGGCTAAATGGGCACAACTGGAAACTATAATGCTAAGGGAAATGAGCAAATCCCAAAGGTTAGATACCACATGTTTGCCTTGATTTAACCTGTAATTTTTTGTGTGGTTGTTTGTTATTTTTTGAACCTGTCATTGACACTGTCTCAACCCAGATGTTTCAAAGAATGGAACTTGCATTATTTTTAACATATTGTTTACCCAATACTATGTCATTCAATTAATTCCATAATGTTGTATATTGATACTGAGGTCTTGTTGGGGCTTTTAACTGACCGGATCTTTACTCTGTTAGCCCTACCTTCAGACCAGAGAAGGTCTCCCCAAGAGGCCACTGAACTTATCTGGACAATAAGACGCTGAACTTTATGCTAGGCATGTGTTTGCAAGGAATGAATCTCAACTGAACTTGAACTATGGTTATGCAACAAGGTGGAGGAATCCACCATGGGGGGAGGGGTATGGGAGGGGAGGGGGGAATCCCCAGCGCCTATAAAACTGCACCACAATGTAAACAATAAAATTTAAAAAAAAATTTAATAAAAAAAAATGAACTAGGCTAAAAAAACTGAACTAGACTTAGTAGAGAATCGTAGAACATTCCAACAAACAACAATGGAATACACAAATATATCATTGCACATGAAATATTCTATGATATAGATAAGAATTAGACCATAAGACAAGTAAAAATCAATATAAAACTATTGAAGGGTCAGTGTTGTGGCACAGTGCGTGACACCCACCCCGTATCAGAGTGCTAGTTTAAGTACTGGCTTCTCTGTTACAGTCCAGGCACAGAATGACGACACAAGTACTTCTCTCATTCTTCCTTTTGCTATCTCTCCAAATGAAAGATCTGAAAAAATAGAAAGGAAAAAAAAAAGAAGTTAGAAAAATCAGTAACAGAAAAAATACATTATTAACTAAACAATAGTTTTTGGTCATGGAAATTTAAAACACAATTATAAGCAGTAAATGACTCAGAAGAAATCATAAGAGAAATGCACAATTTGAGAACAATAAACATGACACATCTGAAT